AGAATTTTAAGCATTTGTAGCAGTAATAAGAATTAATGAGGATGTATGACAAAAACAGACTCTATTTAACAAGCACCAGACTGTGGCAATTCTTAGGGAAGGAATAGGAACACAACTTCATTTAAGTTAATCAATACGAAAAAACTTAAAATACAATACATGCCATAAAAAATAAGGAACTATGCATACCTCTTTCACAATCATTGCCATAATGAATCCATTTATTGGCACAAATACAGTTATAGGATCCCCAGTTCTCTTCACAAACACCCCCATTTAGACAAGGATTGGGCCAACATGATGACATACAATCAGTAGTAACACCTGTCATACTACCATCTATTAATCTAGATAGATCTTTCTCTTTATTATTATACACAAACCCTCGTACACACCCTGTTAAACCTGGTCCTGTTTCTCCTAGTTCACCAGCAATACTGTAATATACAATAAACTATTATAAATATTGTCATATTGTGGTCTGGATTAGTCCTGTCTTAACACAGGTTATTTCCCTTCTAGTCAGGTAGAGTTGCTTACCTTTTCAGTCATCTAATCATGCCTTGAAGTAGCCTAATTAAACTCAGACCAAACTTTCATTACGTTTTTTTATAAGCTTTTATTTTAAATACAGCCACTTCAGTTAGGGTCTAACAACAGCCCTCCTGAATGTGCGTCAAATTAAATAATTATACATTTTATAGAATAGTGAGAGTTGCTACAAAATTGTTGGCTTCCAATGTAAATTTTAAATGTCATGCTTTAAAAAAAATTAAGGCTATGAGATAAGGGTCCCTGAAAATGTATGAAAACATTCGCTTGCAGGTTTCACATTTCTTTTTAGTATGAATCAAACAATTAATTATCAGATGAATATGTAAAAGACTGTTTGATAATTAGATATACATACCCATCAGGCAATCCACCAATATATAAAATACCATCGGAGAAATCTATTAAATCATCTATATCAGAACGTAATGTATATAAACTACGACTCTGATCTACTGATAATCTAAGATTATATTTATCATGTTCAACTATAATGGTATGCCATTCTCCAGTATCAAATGAGATAGGTGTGTATATAGTCTTTAATATAGATTTACCATTAATCACAAAATGAAACTGAACTTCATTAGCTGAAAATAGACATCCAATCAAATGGTGTATTGTTCAAAATAAGACATCAAATGGCAACCTCGAAGAGAATATGTAATGATACTGAGTATATCTTCAAAGGTAAAGGGAAATTGTGATTTAAGATTTAAAACTCATGCTGACTGGTAGAGAAGAAAAGAGACAGGTACTAATGAATAAGATGTTTTCAAAACATTTAAATAATAGGTACACTGATAGAATAGATTGGCACCATTCCAATCCTTATTTACATGTTGCTATTAATATCTAAGTGGCCTAGGATAGTGACATCTTAAAAGTAACCGTTTTAATAACTTACCAGATATTATTTTTATACAAAATTTATTTCCCATTCCTTTGCCTGGTGTTTGATAGAGAATCAAGGCATTAGTTTGATCTGTTTTTATATTAATACGTAAATCTCCAGACTTCCAGGAATGTAGCATTACATAACTGGAACTTTTAATGAAAGTGATAGACTTATCTAATGGAACTTGGACTGAAATAGAATACCATATAATATTTGAATGAATAGGTTTTTTACATATTGAACATCTATTACGGCTGATCAGTTGGTAGATAATAAGCTTATGTCTGCAGTAAACACAGTTATCGTACCACAAATTTTACATCTTTAATGATCAAAGATCTTTATGAATTGAAAAGCCCCTACTCACCACTGCCCCAACATTTAAGATGACCAATAGTAAGGTTTCCGGTACCAGTAGGATATTGTAATACTGTAACTTCTGTTAGTGGTAACTGAGCTTTATTTTTATTAATACCTGAATCTTGGTCCCATTTTTTTAAACCTGTAACATCATACATACAATACAAAATAACATCTATTTCTTCACATCTGATAACAGAATACTGTAACAAATTATCATATCATCATCCTTCATTCATTCATATCATTCTTATATGTACAGATTGGATAATCCAAAAAAGACAATTGAACTTTCTATAGTGCTGTGACTGTGAGAAAATTCATTGGAATTTCCTTGGTACTTAGTTAAATACAAGATAATTAGGGACTCGTGAGACAAACTGGTACTTTTTCCAATCATTAGAACACCTCTACTTTCGATTAATATAAGTATAGTCGTCGAAATAATCAAATTAAATTAAGATTAAAAGAAAATAAGGAAACCCATCTTTAGGAAATATCCTGAACAACTACACATTTTGTCCATATCAGAGAAATACAAAGCCACAAGATTTAAATAAAATTGCAATGTTAATGAAAACTGTTTAGAAATACTGTATTGCTAACTCCAAACAGAAACAGAAATTGTATAAATCTGCAAATTCCAGACTCAGTAGAATAACTTGAGTATTTGACTATAGTAGACTGTAGTAGAGGAACTTGGTGAATGTACGTTATGTAAAACAACAAATAAACTAACTATTTATATTACACTACAAG